GACCTCGATCCATGGAGTTGTATGGAAACTATACAATTAGCCACGGACACTTCTGCACCGCATGAACACGACCCCGATCCCTGGAGTTGTATGGACAACATACAGTTAGCAACGGACCCTTGTTCACCGAATGCACACGACCCCGATCCAGCCACACACACACCCACCTGTGCTGCTCATGAGCCCGCAATCACACAACACACAGTCACAAGCGACACTGTCACAGACAGACCCACATGTGACACAGTCACGCACATACCCACATGTGATGATCCTAAGCCCGACATCACAGACATACCAACATGCGAAACAGTCACAGACACACCCACATGTGAGGATCCTAAGCCCGAAATCACACAACCACCAGGCTCCGGTAACGCAGTCACAGACACACACACATGTGATCATCCTCAGCCCGACATCACAGACATACCCACGCACGACACAGTCCCGGACATACCCACATGTGAGGATCCTAAGCCCGAAATCACAGACATACCCACACGTGACACAGTCACGGACATACCCACATGTGCTGATCCTAAGCCCGAAATCACACAACCACCAGGCTCCGGTGACGCAGTCACAGACAGACCCACATGTGATCATCCTCAGCCCGACATCACACAACACACAAGCACACACGCCACAGTCACGGCCATACCCACATGTGAGGATCCTAAGCCCGAAATCACAGACATACCCACATGTAAAGCAGTCACAGACACACCCACATGTGCTGATCCTAAGCCCGAAATCACACCACAACCAGGCTCCGGTAACGCAGTCACAGACACACCCACATGTGATCATCCTCAGCCCGACATCACAGACAGCCCCACATGCGACACAGTCACGCACATACCCACATGTGAGGATCCTAAGCCCGAAATCACACAACCACCAGGCTCCGGTAACGCAGTCACAGACACACCCACATGTGATCATCCTCAGCCCGACATCACACAACACACAGTCACAAGCCACACCGTCACGGACACACCCACAGTACACACTACCACGTGGCTCCGTTGGATTGACCGCAACAAGTACCTTGTGCGGGAGTGCACGGGGCAAACATGGTTCAATGAAATCAAATCGGAATGGAAACAATACCTGCGTGCGCACATGGTGGCAAACGAGGATAACGGATTATACGGCCATAGTGAATTCGGTGCAGCGGCAACCCTGCAGATAAACAAGCTTGACGCATGGAAAGCATGGGTAGCGCAACAACATCGGCAAATGAGTATGTATGGCCAGGAGGCGTGGTTTCAACATTTGTTTACTAATGTACAGGAGGCGACAGTGCCGGCAACAGGCGAAGTACATGGAGTCGACAACGACTTAGAAGTGGAACATGTAATGGCCGCAGAACATGTTCTAAGAGTGACAGTTGCACCACGCTCGCAACTGCATCAACAACCTCATATGAAACCACGCTTCACCGCTAAAACATGGATACTGATCCTGGCATTAGTCATAGAACAGTGCGAGGTCGACAGCCGTTTGCAGCAGACGGAGTTATATGTCGATGATCTATTGCAGCAACTGTGACATTAGGATGACGGGGCACACAAATGGGCATAACGCATGCTAATCGTACACCACTTTTACTTCATTATGTGATATACATCATATATTTCTTGTTTGCACTATTGCATACATTCTTTTTTTTTTTTCTGCTCTGTTCTGCTTACTTGTGCTTACTTTTGCCTTGTTCTGTTCGTTTTCTGTGTAGTCAACTTCTATTAACATGACCATAGCCACAGGTGGGTACACGTCAACTGCATATACAATGTAGATTTAAATGAATAATATGAAGGGGTAGAATTCTCCTTTATGTGAAGTTAATTATTAAAAGCTGAGCACGTGCATTCTAAGGGTATGGTGCAGCACACATACAGAACGCGCCTACGCATTCGAGTATACGCAGAGATTGTCTCTCCGAGCCCACGCGGTTCGACCACGTGGCCACGTGCAAAACGCATTCGACAACGTAGCCGAGTAAGCATTGTGCCGAGGGTAAGAAAGGAGGAGGATTGTCTCTCAGAGCACACGGGGCCGGGTAAACGCGATTGTCCGCGGACGTAGCCCAGTGTAAGAAGGAGGAGAGGTTGTCTCTCCGGGCAAACGCGTCGACCAGAGCGGCCGCGTGTAAGAAGCATTCGACGAAGTAGCTGAATGTAAGAACGGAGGAGCATTGTCTGTCCGCGCAAGCGCGGCCGGTTAAGCCGATTGTCCCAGCAACGAGGCCCAGTGTAAGAAGGATTCGACGAAGTAGCCGAGCAAACGTGGCCGCGTGCCAGCAGGAGGAGAGATTGTCTCTGCGAGCGCACGATCGGTCCGAGTGTAAGAAGGATTCGACGACGTAGCCGCGTGCATGGACGGGGACATTGTCTCTCCGAGCACACGCGTCGACCAAAGCGGCCGCGTGCACGAAGGAGCAGCAGATTGTCTCTCCGAGCAGACGCGGCCCGGGTAAACGGAGATTGTCCGAGTGTAAGAAACGAGGGAGACATTGTCTCTCCGAGCAAACGCGCACGGGTAAACCCGATTGTCGACAACGCAGCCGAGTGTAAGAAGCAGGACAGCTTGTCTCTCCGAGCAAACGCGTCGAACAACGCGGCCGCGCGTAAGGAGGATTCGACGAAGTAGCCGAGTGTAAGAAGGAGGAGAGATTGTCTCTCCGAATAAACGCGTCGAGCACCGCGGCCGGGTAAAGCACATTGTCGCCGAGTGTTAGAAGCATTCGACGAAGTAGCCGAGTGTAAGAAAGGAGGAGAGATTGTCTCTCCGAGCAAACGCGTCGACCAAAGCGGCCGCGTGCAAGAAGGACTCGACGAAGGATTGTCCGAGTGAAGGAAGGAGTAGAGATTGTGTCTCCGAGCACACGCGGCCAAGTGCAACACCGATTGGACGAAGTGGCCGAGTAAGCATTGTGCCGAGTGTAAGAAGGAGGAGCGATTGTCGCTCCGAGCAAACGTGGCCGGGTAAACGGATTGTTCGACGACGGATTGTCCGAGTGTAAGAAGGGAGGGAGAGATTGTCTCTCCGAGCAAACGTGGCCGGGTAAACGGATTGTTCCACGACGTAGCCCAGTAACAAGGACGCGGCCAGTAGGGCAAATTGATGTTGTTGTTATTACTGCGGTTTGGTTGTGTACGCACACAGACAGACAGTGTGTGACAGGAGTTTAGTGGAGACCGGTGTAGACAACTGGCGGGGGGTGTATTATTCATGACGTTGTGTGTAGTGTTTTTTGTATTTGTTCCTTTCTTTGTTCTTTTTTGTTTTTTGTGATTTTTCTACTCTACTTGGGGAGATTGTTCATGTGTAGAAGAGAGACAGAGCCTGCTCTCAATTGTTTACAAGATGTTGTTATGAATTTGTAGGAATATGTTGTTTGTTTGCTCTCCTTTTTTTTTATGTCTTTTCTTTTTTTTTTTTTTTTATTTCATTTATTTCTATCTTATTTTTGTTCTTCTTTTTACTCGTATTTATTATTTTTGTTTTTAGTGTTCCTTATTCTTAATATAAGAAAAAGGAGTTTACATGTAGCCATACATTATATGATTTTTGTGATACATACCCTTGTCTCTTAACGTGGATGCTAGAGTTCCTTTAGGAAGAATTTTCATGTGCAGTGGATATACAGGATTACATTGGATACGTAGACATTGTGCGTAATGCACTTGTGCAACATATGTAGACGGGTACGCGCATTCTGCAAGGTATGATGTTTTCTATGTTGTTATAATAGGAGAAGCATGGCGGAAACTTTAGCGGCTATGTTGGCACGGTATGCGAAGGATAGGGGACTAACGCAGGATACTGGGGATTTTCAGGTAATTTCATATGCATACAGGCCGCGTGCGGCAGTGTGCACCAGGCCGTACATATGTGTGGATAAGAGCAGCATACTTCAGCGAGGCAGCATGTCGGGACAGTGCGTGCTTCATATGTACCGCATACGGCACATTTACATGTAACAGGCAGCAAGGGCCAATTATAATTAGATGATTGCAACGGTTGGTGAATAATACTGTGCGACCACATATATATGTGCATTCTGCTAACCACAGGCTGCTTTATGGGAAGATATACAAACACAACTTGGGCTTTTTATTACGGATATGAACGATGATAGTCAGTACGACAATGCTAAGAACTGTGAGAATGCATACTGGGAGCATCCAATAGATGACGGACAGCCGAACCAACCACAAAGGGAAATGAGCAGGCGCACAGAAAGAGTTATATGCAGACTCATGACGCAAGCGCTATATTTTGCACATGCGTGGAGCAGTGAGGTAAAGCAGAACGTAGGCCACGATCACCAAAATAAGGAGATAAAGGGGTTAATGAGATGCACGATTGTGGACGTATATAACGAGATACTGAGGACATATGGATGCGAGGGTTGGTGGGGCACATATTATGCATGGTACACAACACAGATAATTTGGGATGCGTTAAAAGAACAATTGGGGGAAGACCATTGTAAGCGCGGTATGTACAGGGATATCAATTTACGGAACTGGCCCATGAGGAATAAGATGCAGACATGGTTAAAACAGAACAAACAGATGAAGGAGAAACTTGCACAGGAACAAATAAGCGATGGGTGTAAGGGAGCACAGGTAAAGCTAGAGGTCGGACCGAGACAGCAGGAACAGCAAAAGGACAAAGACAACCAAACGAAACATGACGTAAAGCAGCAGGTTGCAGGAATTTTGAAAGACCTGGAGGAACAGATGCAGAACGAGGAGAAACAATTGAGCGGGTCCACTGGGCCAGCACCCCCGGATCCTGATGTGCACGACGAAGACGACAAGAATGCTGAAGACATCGAGCAAAAAATACAAAAAGAAATCGAGGAAGTGGAAGACCAATTAAAAAAAGTGATCGCGCAGACTGCCGCTGCACAAGCAGCCGCCGCCAAAGCAGCAGCGACCACACCGGTGGTAACAACACCGGGACCGACAGGTACGAGCTAAGGGAGCCGCACGCATACGAATATACGGCCGAATACGAACACGGCCTAATACGCATCGTACGGCCTGTACGACCGCACACGACTCCGTGCTGCCGAATGTGGATGCCGCCACCACAACAACAACGCACACGCGGCGCCACAACAACACTTCGTTGACGGTGACCGATTGCGATGAGCGCTGGCCACGACGACGGCAGCGGCGACGAGGCACCGGAGACGAGATGAGGGATGCAGTGGGACGGCGGACGACATGACGGACCAGATGACGGCGACAACAAATAAAAGTTGTACTGCTATCACCTCCGTCCACCGCGTGCGCCCCCTGCATCTCTCCATTCATGCGGCAAGTGTTACACACCCATATGCTCCTATATTACCGTCATTGTTAGGACAAACGGAAGAAGAGAAACGAAAAGAAACAAAACCAGAAGCAGGGACAACTACAACACCCTCCACACCTGCCACAGTAGCAAGATCAGAGGACGTTGCGGAAACACCATCACCACCTCCAGCGCCGGCATCTCCAGAGCAGGCACCATCAGGACCACCAAAGGAACCACCGGCCGCAGCGGCAGGTGGGCAACAACCAGGTCAGGGACCTGGACCTGGACAACAACCCCCCCCACCTCCACCACCTTCACCTCCTAAACCCACACAAGAGGGCCCGGACGCGCATTCACCAACGTCAAAAGCAGATTCATCTGCGGAAGGAACCTCAAAGGGCAAAGGTAAGACATTAAGGGACTCGAAGAAAAAAACTGAGGAGAACAAAGAGAAATGCAGTGAGGATCAGACTGACCATGACAAGGTTCTTGATTGTCTTCAGAAGCAGGAGGACCTTGCAAACGCAGGGACAGGAGTGAACCAACCGGACGGCTCCGAAAAATACGACGGAAAGGGTCCTGTGGGTCTCCCTGCTAGTTCCCGCACGATCAGAATATCCGCAGGGACGTCTCCTGAAGTTTCACAAGTACCCCCAGGTACGACTAATGAACATTTAGCAAAGGGCGAACTCAGACAAAAAAACCCAAGACACAAAAACTTTTCCGCGGAGACAAAAAAAAATGAAACAACAATTTCCGCAGACACAGAGGGAGAGAGAACACAGAGAGAAACCAAACGTCGAATGAGAGTGAGCGGCGCAGTCAGTGGCCGAGCAACGGGTCGGCCGCGGGAGGTCGAGTTACCGCCGCGGCAGGTAGAGCGCCGTACAGACGTCGACACACGTCGACAGGTTGACACACACTGTGTGTGTTGCGTGTTGTGTGTGGGAGACACAGCGAGTCTTTTCCCGGGTGGTACCGTAACCACCCTACCCCGTGCACTGCCTCGCCGTTCCGTCCTTCCTGCCCATCGTTCCCGTCGCACCAATGGTGCCGACCGTGTGCCCAATCACAGTCAACCCTGGCCAGCTACCGCACAAAACTTCCGTTTCATCACATACTTCTTCCTGCCCTTTCCCTGTCTGCCGATTCACCACATGTTCAGGCGATGCCGTCATCGATGGCGGCAACGATGACCCCCCTCCTCTCAATCCACCCAAACCAAAACCGAACCCGAACCCAAATCAATCGGGTAGTAGTGGCAGTTTCAGTGATGCTGATTTGGCGGATGGAGTTTCTGGTGGGGAAGTAACGGCAGGTGGTAGTGGTGGTGGAGGAGGT